TGTGGGGTGTGAGGTGTGAGGTGTGAGGGGTGGGGTGTGAGGGGTGAGGTCCGCGCCAGCTGAGCGCCCTTCCCGTCTGCTTCTCAGGTGCTGAGGCACGAGGAGTTCACGGAGGGCTGCAAGGCGAGCTGCAACGGGTGAGTAGCGCCCGTGTGCCCCCCGGAGCCCCGGGGACGCTGGGCTGGGTTTTACAGCTGCTTCCCTTGGAGTCAGCATTCCCCCTCTTTGGGTGGGCGCGGTGTTGCCGTTGGCACAGGAGCGTTGCTGTGTTACTCCCGTAGATTGATACTTGAACCTGACCAAATGATTTCTAAACTTCCCTGGAATCACATTGGGTTGCATTGTTTTTTTCACAGACATGGGGCTATCTGGGATCTCGAATTAAAAAAAAGATCCCTCCTGGTAGCCCCAAAGGCTTTTGTCTTCGTGGGTGAAAGAAATCTTCCAATCTTGTGTCTACCTGCCTGTGTTTCCTGCCTCACAATACGGAAGTGCTGATAACAATTCCAGCTAATGAGCAGCTTGCGCCTGAACAGTCTGGACTGGAAAGGACCTTTAGTCCTTTGAACATCCAGTCCAACCCCCTGCAGAGAGCAGGGATATCTGCAAGGAGAGCAGGTTGCTCATAGCTCTGGCCAACCTCACCTGGAATGGTTCCAAGCATGGGGCCAGCGTGAGCTGTGAAGAAGGAGGTAGAGTTGCTTTTGTCACTCATAGTCATGAATGACAGCCCCAGGTCAAAACACTGCCCAGGGGGATGCCTGGCTGCTGTGTGCTACAAATTGTGAGGCTTGTTACAGGTATCAGCTCCTGCTTGGGAGGAAGTTACTGGATTTCCTTTGCCACTTGGTTACTCTAGAAGCGCAGTTCTCCCTTGACACACTACTACTTGCAGTTCTTGCTGGTTATTTCTGATGCTCACCACAATTAAATCTGGATGTTCCAGCCCTTATGATGGAAAATGGAGCAAAACGATGGTGGGCTATGGGCCAGAAGACAACCACTTTGTAGCAGAGTTGACTTACAACTATGGCATTGGAGAATATCGCCTGGGCAACGACTTCCTGGTAAGAGCCACACGTGGCAGCAAAATCTTTCTTCTTCTGAGAAGCTTTTTTATTTTCAAGATTAGGAGCTTGTTCAGCGTATAGGTTGTACCAGTTGGTTTTTGGTCTTCTGTTTTGTCCCTTAAACACCTTTAATCCTTCCTTTGGTAGTTGTCTCCAAGTTGGAAGAGCAGAAACCAGAGCAGCTTTGTGCTCCCTTAGGATCTAGGAAACTTTCCTTGAGCACCTTCCAGCACAGCTGCTGGTATTTGCTGCCAGATCTAAGGTGCAGTGATTAGCCAAGAAGGATATTGCTGTAGGAAACACTCTTTTTGTGTTTATTACTTTTTTTTTTTGTTCTGTACTAGCTGGCAGCTAATGAAGTTTTCATGTTTCTGCTATGAATACCTGTAATGTGTTTGCTCATTGTTTCCCCTGAGCTAATATTCTTCCCCTGGGGCCTAAGGGAGCACCAGGAGCCCCAGGTGTCTGCCTGCCCTGGTAGAACAGTAAGGATTGAGGTTTTCTGCTCCTGGACAATGTGTTGAATCAGAGTTTTAAATTCCTTTTGATTATCATTTCCCTTTGGTGTGAAAGAAGGGTAGATGAACACATTCCAAATGCATACAGGGTGCACAGTAAGACTAAGTTTATTTTATAGGTGCAAGATTTGTGGCTCTCAGATTTTTTTGTGCTATGACAAGTGACCCGGGTTGTGTTTGGTCATTGTAGAGGCAGGTGATGGAAAGGCAGGACTTGGGCACCACCCACCCTGTGAATTTTGTGTGTGTCTGTCCTCCTCTCCCCAGGGCATAACACTTGTGTCCAGCCAGGCTGTAAGCAATGCTAAGAAGATGGGCTGGCCCCTCAAAGAAGTCACAACTGGTGTTTTTGAAGCTGAAGCCCCAGGGGGGTACAAGTTCTACTTGGAAGACAAGGAACAGCTCAAACAAGGTGAGATGAACACTCACTCTTACCAGTGTTCAATCCAGATTTTGGGGGGTGTTAGAGTGGCTGCACAGTGGCATTTTGTGACACAGAGCGTGGCTTTCTTTGTTACTTCCCAAGAGTGTGAAACTGTTTAAAACTGCAAGGTATTTGTAACTCATTTCAGACTGTTGCACTCTTACAGACCCTGTGCTGAAGGTAACCCTGGGTGTGTCTGATCTGCAGAAGTCTGTTAACTACTGGTCTGATTTGCTGGGGATGAAAATCTACGAGAAGGACGAGGGGGAGCAAAGGGCTTTGCTGGGCTATGCAGATAACCAGGTATGTCTCTGGAAAACTTCCCAGGTTTGATCTTTAAGAGTTGGGTCTCATCATGGAAACCTCTCATTTCATGAGAACAATCTTCAGAGGGGGAAAAAAGCTCTTAATTAAAGCAACTGTGCACTTAATTCTGTGCATTTTAATTAGAGTTTGTGTGGAGTTAACTGTATTTAAAGGAAATAAATAAGACTGTGGTTTGCTCTGGTCGTTCTGGCTTGTTGGGGAATAACATCTATGGGGAATTTTGAAATCATCTGCATCTGGGATAAAGCTGGAGCAGGTGTGGCCCTGAGAAGAGTGTCCTCACAAGCTGCTGTCCCCCTGCAGTGTAAGCTGGAGCTGAGGGGTGTCGGAGGAGCCGTGGATCACGGGACGGCGTTCGGGCGCATCGCCTTCTCCTGTGCAGGGGAAGAGGTAACAGCCACACCCCCCACACCCCCCTCACCCACAG